GCGATGTTACCCTCGAACTGATTGGGTGTTGTATGCGTCAAACGATAGCTTTGTGGCCGGTTAACCGCTCAACCCAGTCACAATTGGGTCTTACTTTAGTTTTTTATCACGTAGTGGTAAACATGACGGGCGACGATAATTGCGCTGAACTTGATGTATTCGATCTGCACAGAACAAATTGAGCGCGATTCCACTTCGCTTGCTTATGCTAGGTGAGCATCCCCGAGTTAAATTTCCAGGCATAGTGGCAGGATATATACGTGATACGAATATTAACAGTGAAACAAACCGCACTCCATGGTTAGCTAATATGCAGCAACGACAGTACTAGCAGGGTGTTAAAAGTCGAGGTATGGTACCCGGACTGACGTACAAAATAAAGGAAAGTCTGATGGCAGTAGTACGACAGACGACTGTGAATACCTAGTAAATAGGCTGGTCTGCTGCATTGCCTCGTGGCTAAGTGGCGACAATGCAAGAAGCTAAAGGAAACTTTCATGTTAGTTCATTGCCCAATTAATACCTTATTACTGTCCTGTTTCTCGTTTTATTTCCAAAACGTCAATTGTAGGATGGAAAAATTCAATTTCAGAGCACTCATGCATTTGTTTGTGTTACCTCACGCGAATGATACAGGCTGTCCTAATTATAACAGAGGAAACCACTAATCAAGATCCCGACGGCTGCTGGATACCTCGATATGGAAAATTTCGAAGATGTCATAGATAAGACTTATCAAGCAAGCGAGCACTAACGTGGACCAAGACTACTGAGTGGCGAACACGCTGAGAATTCACCAGTAAGAACTCAACCCAACTGCATTCTCCATAAACTGCAAACTGACATCTGAGTTCAAGTTTGCGATGCAAACAACCCGAATAAGTCTCTCAAAGGACATTTCCCAGTCCAGTCACGTTTCGGTACATCAGCCCGCTTTTCGGACTTGGTCTCTGTGGGATAACTGCATAGGTGTGGGCAAGGAGTGGACAACCTATTATTCGAATATAAAGACATCAAAAAGTAAACTAACTTTCACAGGCAGATGCGTGGCCTTTTCGGCTAAACGTAGCAGTGTCGAGGACATTAAATGGTAATCCATACAGGTGCCAGAATTAGAGGCCATCAAGAAAGAAAAGTGGCACAATCATTTTACCCACATTTTGTATATTTTAGGCTAAGTATTAAGCCTCTGGTGACCTCCACGGCCGAGCCGTTAGAGTGTTTAGTCTTGACAGGTTATATTTTGTTATACTGCGCATACATGCATCCTTCTGACGCACGCCAATGGTTTCGGCAAGGTATTCGAATTATTCGGCAAGTACTACGGCATTTGAGATTACCTAGATGATTAGTAGGTCCCACTCACCGCTGCATGCTAGAAATTAAATTAGCACATGCGAAATAACCAGTTTTTTTTTTCTGCACATTAGGTTAAAACGTCCAACATTTCGGAAGAGCGTGATAACCTTACGTCAGACCCGGTTAAGTTTAATCCTGGAATTACGGAAATTGTTGTTTTTAAATAGCAAAGGGGTGTAGTATTAGCATCTTCATAGAAGGCTTTGGAAGTGATTAGTGGGAATAATCGGCGAGGATAAAGAAAATATAAATCATACAATCGGCTTAAAAAGGTCATTCAGTGCTTGGATATCAATGCAGTTTGAATCAAGTAACACTACGTGTTTTCTAAGGTTGAAATGCTATGGGGTTCAGAGAGATAGAAAGAGAGGTGCGTGGGTAATTACTGGATGCGCAAATATATAAACAGAAGCGCAAGGTACTTACAGCATATTTTTATGTTCAATGAGAGATCGGCGCTCGAATACACGCTTTTGGATGTCCTCAGGCAAGAAGGCAATCTGTTCGTCAGTTAACAACTTAGCGCATCGACTTAGGTGCAGAGTAAGTGCTGCTCCTTCGACGTTATTCTTCAAGGCACGAAGAAGGCGCTTGGCAGTAAGGGGAAGAACTGGTTTCTTAGGAGCAACTGGTTCACTCTTATCTGGAGTTTCATCCTTTGTTAGATCGATCGGTTTGCCGAAGGACAGCGTAGCCTGAGAGAGAAGGCAGAGAACCGTTTGAGGTGCACAAAAAGGTTTCGGATTCACGTCATCATGGCTTCCATTATCTCAAATTCAAAAAAGTTACGATTTCCTTAACGCTCTGGTATGACAAATGCGTTGGCACCATGTCAGTAGCAGCACGTTTGTACAGCAGTCCAAACTACAAACACCCTAGACAGTGTCAGGAAGCAACTGATTGATTAGACAGTAGAACATATTATTGGGCCTAAATAAGACCTTCAGAAAACGTGTAGATGAACGAAATATTTAATATGCTAGCTTGAATGTTTCCTCCATTTTTGGTAGAAGCTTAGCAAAGTAGCAACAGGATGGCCTGAATAAGAATAGTGAAATATCTGATCGTGCCATTGAAGAAGATTTGTCGAAAATCGCCTCCAAGTCGAATTTGATGCTATTTTCTATGGCAATTGCTAGGATCTGTGAGCGGAATGGCTTGATTGTAAGGTCAGAAAAATTTTGCGATCCCTGTCTTATTTTCATCTTAACTCATTTCTTAATGAGCCCAAAGCAGCTCTACAACGCAATAAGTTAGGTATGTATGTCCTGGTGGAGGTGGATTGTGGTGAAAGGAAGTACAAGACTAGTAAGCGCCTTTTGAACCAAAAGAAGTTTTAAGACGGATAATAGCTTGTTATTTGCAGGAAAACAACCATATAAATATGCAAGTCGGTTGCATACAATAAAGTATATTTTACCTGCTTTAATTTCTTCTTTGGAGTGGCATCTGACGTCTTTTTCTTATTGGGGACTACTTTTTCCGACTTACTGGCACCGTCCTGCAAAACCGAGTTTTTCACTTTAACCACTTGTGGTGACCGTTTTACGCCGTTCTCTTCAACCTGTTGACCGCTTCGCGATCGTTCATTCATGATTCGAGCAAAGTAACGTTCTTCGTACGTTTCCGATAACTTTCGAAGCTAACGAAAAACTGATGAGCTGAAAATGACAGGTACCTTTTTGCGATCGATAGGATCTTGATTGGACTTTACATGGGAGCAGTAGCGCCGCAAAGCGGAAGGATCTACTATCCACGGTCCAGAAGATGCTGGTCCATAACGCATAGCATTAGACCGAATAAACATCCTGACGTGGTCCTTGGATGGGGGGCGGTGCAGCCGTCTAGAGAAATGTTAGATGAAAGTATACCTACTGAATCGAACGCGATGGAACATGCTTGACAACAACGGGTTCCTCAGACACCAATTTGACGCTGTATGAATAATTTTTCTGTTGAAAGACAAACAATTAGAATGAACTTGCAAACATACCTTCGGTATGGGCAACCGTTTTACCCCAGCATTTTCTTTATCGCTTTGAGTAGGAGAGCTGTTGTCATTACACAAATCAATCACCTCCGGTTCCTCCACTGTATAATCCACCTCAATTATCGTGGCATGAATACTAATGTTTGTAAGCAAATACAGCAATAAACTTACGGTTTCGAGGCATCAACTTTTAGAAGAACTGGTTCACCAACCAAGAATTGCTCTTGGAGCTTGGTCCAACAGGAAGTAACAAGGGGTTCCAGGGCCAGGGTGTCTAAGAAATATCCAGACTATGATGTGCATACTTAAGTGGACTACTTCCAAAATCGCGGTACGGAAGTGAGGCTGGATAGCTTTCTTTAGAATATTGTTAGATGCTTGTTCCGACTTGGTTGCCTCTTTATGTGTGAGATTAAGGCGCCCAGTAACGCGGCAAGTCCAAACCTTCGCATCATAAATAACATTTTTACGATCAAGTTCTTCTTTTGAAGAGCAAATTTCTCGCGTTTCTGGGACGACAAAATCATTTGTAACCTGTTCTTCTTCTGCGTTCTTTTTTGTCTTTTTAACGGTCGCATTTAAGACATGAAGCTTGTTTCCTAACAGTGGCATTGCGAGATGCTGTAAGAAAACAAAGGATGATTAAACAAATATCATAGGCCAAATTGAGCTATGAAAAGCCACATAACCCTACTCTACTCCGTTTAAAGTCCATAAGCTAGAATAAATCAGATGCGAGCGGCTAAGTGGGTGCAACCGGATGTTTGTTAGGAACACTCAATCAAGCGAATTGTCTACGGTTAAAACCTAAAAATAGCGATATCTCCGCTAAACGATGGGCACAACATGCAAAATAGTGAATGACACTGTTAACAGAATTCGCATTATGGTGTCGGTAAAACAACGGCTAATTGACTAGGCAACATGCCCAATTTATCCGAAAAGGAACGAAATGGCAAAATTACGAGCGAATGAATATGAAACACATCCTCACGCTCAATTTTACCTACCCAGAATAAAGGATAGACACCAGCGAATACGGACCTTCAAACGAACTTGTCTGAAAGTGCCGCTGCCAAGCCGATTAGCATAATTAAACACATGTTGGCGCAAGGCCTCATATGTCACTTGCCTTGCAATTTTATCCAAATGAGTATGGTATATTTACTAGATAAAAATTTAGTATACTGAAAGTTCGCGTTCACTCAAAAGCTCGCCTAATCAAAGTAGTTTGCAAAAAAATCTCATATCTCATAGGTTTCTCACAATTTTCACAATATCATAAACGGTCTTTTATATATGCACATGAACAGGGGCTGAAGGGATCAAGACAGGCATCTCGTTACATGGAAACAGGAAAAATATGCATGAACAAAGGCAACTTAGCCCACTCTTCAAATATTTTCGATTCTTTAGTTATTAATTTTTATCATGGCCTTTTTACTACGCACTGTCAATTCATAGTGATCCCTTTTTTGTAATGTCAATTTCGGCAAAAACTTACTCATTTAATTACAACTTAGGTGGCACACATTCTAAAGCGTGTACTCTGTTGTAGAATTTTCTCACGACAAAAGTGTTGCGACGGTGGTTGCGGCTTGATTATGCCAAGCTAGCAGCATATTATGGCCCAAGAAACACAGACAGTGGGCTAGATTGTTGGAGAACAACCATGGGCCGCCTGATGGTACGAAAGTGTGCGCAGTTACGGTGCTGAGAAGCAAGCTGACGCTGCAACAGGCCCGAGAAGGTGCGCGAAGAAGGGAGACGACTGAAAAAATATCTGGCCACGAGCCGCACGAATTAGGCAAGGGCAAGATAACCAGTTATGCATTCTATATGGTTTATAACGTTCATTCTTTTTGGCAGAGGTAGAGGCAGACTTACGGATAACTCAGATGACGATGACACAGGCCATGTTTGCAGATGATTTTAAGATATGGACGGTCATCTAAAATTCCGCCAAGGGTGATGATTTCCAGGAAAATCCTTGTCGATTAAACGATTTGTCACACAGATGGCTTCTACCCTTCAATTCGAATAAATGCATTCTTTTTCGTCTGTATAATCGAAATCCGGTCCCCGATGCTCGATCCTACTATTTGACCGGAATCCCATTCCAAGAAGCAGAAATACAGAAGGACCTAGGCATCTCGATGACAGACAACCTCAAGTCTTCTACACAATATTGTAAAGCGGCCAAAGCTGCAACTTCAATGTTGTAAGCCATCAAGCGAGCATTCACCGTTTTTAATGAAGACTGCTTCTCGAAAATATTAGGTTACTTCATAAGGCCACATCTTAAATACGCAATT